GGAAATTTATTTTTTCCTTTTTAGGTAGGATGAATCAATTACTCCTACTTAATTTTATTATTACCACAAGAGAGTAAAGGACGATGTCATAGCTGAACATTTTACCGACAAAATATTGACTTTTCTCTACAAAGTTTACGTCGTATTGTTCGCACAGAGTCACAAATGCCTTTATACGATATCTGCATAACAATTCAGATAGACAGGTATGCATAATTTATCAGCAACTGTATACTAGTCTATTTGCAACGTCTTTTATGGGTGTTTCACTCATATTTATCACATGGAAAGAAATGGTGTAACACAAAAAAAGATATAAGAAAGAATTATCAAACTGAAAACAATGTGTTATGCAAAATATAGTATGAAAACCCGAGTGCAATCTCTCTCTCTCTTTCTAAATTACTTCTCAAGATAAAATATTTTTTTAGAACTTATTTTATAATTAATATTTAATTCGTTTCATTTTGCTTCATAAGCATAAATAAAAATATTATAGACTTTTTTTATCGTCGATTGTCTCTCGCGTCGCGAGAGACGATAATCATAAAAATCTGTCCGTATATGTTGCCTGTGTATGTTGCGCGTTAACAAATAACGCGGGTATTACTTTTCAACGCCGAATCCCATACGGTACGTTTACCTCATGTGGAACGTTTTATGTGGCGAACCCAAGTGCCGAATATATCAATGAAATTTAACGACCAGAGACCGTTGCAACCGAAACTCGTCGTTGTTTTACGACGGGACGATTGTTGGGGAGCGCTTCGCGTCACGAGAGCTGTTCGGAATGTTTTTCAACGATCCGTCTCGGCAACGTGAACGAAATCAGATGTAAGCTCTTTGCCGCGGGATGAGCGCGGCAGATCAGCATGTTTTCTCGTTAGATGTCACACGATCGCGATTTTTCATGCTCATGGCGGATAAATCGTCTCGCACTTCGTCGTGACACACGAGGCGAAAGACTCGGGAAAATATGGTACGTGACGGTCGCGCACATTGGAAACTCGTGCGGAAGAACGCGAGCATACGTCAACTTTATACGGTTGCGTAGCGTGAGAGGTCGGGAGAGAAAACCGGGAGTTCGTATTAAAGAGAGTTCAAAGAAACAAACGCGAGTCGAGACGTTTATTATTGTCGCCGGTCATCCAAATGGCGACGTTCCTCTTGCGTAATCGTCGTTGATCATTTGTTCGCGCAACGTATGCCGCGCTTGATAATTTTCATGAATATTGCATCTAACGTAAAGCCGGTCGCTTTTATCGCCCGACGTTATGACGCAGCAGCCCGTTGGACTTCACGTAATAAATTCATGTAATAAATATTTAAATCAAAGTCGTTTTCTGAAATAAATATCTAGTCTCTCGTAACTTGAAACATTAAATATATATATATATATATATTTATATAAAAATATATAAAATATATGTAAAACATGTTCATAGACAGATAACGGTTGTCTGTTTGTCTTTTTGGAAATCAGGTCGGCCAGATAAAGCTTTCCATATTGCGCCCACTTCACCATTTTTCATGCGCCTCTTTCAACAAAACAGTACATTTCAGCTATACAAAAGCGATATTATCGTTTATTGTTCCCGCATGTAAATGATATCGGGCCCGCCGAGCGACTATCGGTTTACAGAGAGCGCGTGGCAATAAAGATCCCGCTATTGCGCCGCTCGCGCAATAATCCCGTTCTCTCACGGAGTTTCGCAGATTTACCGCGTATGGAAATGTCACGCGAGAGGAAGCATCTTAGTCGGCAAAAGACCTGAGAGATAGATAGATAGATTTAGATAAATACATGCGTTTATCACTCTAAAACTTAATACAGGTCCTCTGAGATCTATATTAATAGTCGTTACTTGAAATTTACCTCACGCGAGATACTCAGATTTGATTTTAGAGATAAATATGTCTTTCAGTTACGATTATATCACATATATTATATAATCCGAATAAAAAACTTAAACTTGTCTCTAAATTCAGGCCTGAGTATTTCATAAATGTCAAGTAATGATTATTAATACAAATCTCCACGATCTGTATTAATAGTCGTTACTTGACTTATGTATTTCGAGTGAGATATTCAGATTTGAATTTAGAGTTAGTTGTAAATGTTTCAGTTGAAATTTCGTGATCATCGGATGTAATATCGCATATATTATATGACTAAAAAATAATAAAAGATCCAAATCTAAATTCAGATAAATCTCACGTGACACAAATTTCAAGTAGCGACTATTAATACGAGCTTAAAAGCGTTACATGGTAGAGATATAATTTGACATTGTGCAAGTCAGTTTTAGAAGAAAGAAGAAAAATTTGGCAGGAATTTAAATGATACTTGTTTGGCGTAGATATAGATGTAATTCTTGATTACGGAGAGAGTTCATTGTCCCTAGTTTTTGAGAGAGTGAGTTTCAAGGGACAACGGCAGTATTTTGGAGTAGTCCTTGAAGAGACAGAGAAACTGGAAGAAAAAGAGAAGAAGAGAGAGAGAGAGAGAGAGAGAGAGAGAGAGAGAGAGAGAGAGA